ATTGAATAGAGTTCATCACTCTGCATCAACTTCATTGACTACGAGAAAGCATTTGATAGCGTGGACAGAACAACACTATGGAAACTACTTCAACACTACGGCGTGCCTCAGAAGATAGTCAATATCATACAGAATTCATATGATGGATTAAATTGCAAAATCGTGCATGGAGGAGAGTTGAAAAAGTTGTTCGAAGTGAAAACCGGTGTTAGGCAAGGTTGCTAACTCTCACCCTTTCTCTTTCTCCTGGTGATCGACTGGATCATGAAGACGTCAACATCTAAAGGGAAACGCGGGATACAATGGACATCTAGGATGCAGTTGGACAATCTAGACTTCGCAGATGATCTGGCCCTTCTATCCCAAACGCAACAACAAATGCAGGAGAAGACGGCCAGTGTGGCAGCAGTAGGTCACAACATACACAAAGGGAAAAGCAAGATTCTCCGATACAACACAGAATGCACCAATCCAATCACAATTGACGGAGAAGATTTGGAAGATGTGAAAACCTTTACATATTTGGGCAGCATCATTGATGAACACGGTGGATTTGATGCAGATGTGAATGCACGGATCGGAAAAGCAAGAATAGCATATCTACAACCGGACATCTGGAAGTGGAAACAACTGTCAACTGCTAACATCAAAGTCACAATTTCCAATACAAATGCCAAGACAGCTCAAATGTTTGAGGCGGAAACTTGGAGAACTACGAAAGCCACCATCCAGAAGATACAAGTGTTTACTAACAGCTGTCTACACAAAATACTTCGGATCCGATGGCCAGACACTATCAGCAACAACCTACTGTGGGAGAAAACAAACCAGATACCAGCGGAGGAAGAACTGCTAGAAGTGGATAGGACACGCGCTGAGAAAAGCACCCAACTGCGTCACAAGGCAAGCCCTCACATGGAATCCTCAAGGCCAAAGGAGAAGAGGAAGATGAAAGAACACATTACGCCGAGAAAAGAAGACAGACTTGAGAAGAATGAACAAAAGTTGGACAGAACTGGAAAGGAAGGCCCAGGACAGAGTGGGTCGGAGAATGCTGTTCGGCGGCCTATGTTCCATTGGGAGTAGCAGGCGTAAGTAAGTCTGTTGTTATTTTAATTGCCCTCCGATTTCCTTCCCATCCCCTTGATTTTAATATTATATTCTTAAGCATTCCACTTCCGATCTCTGCCATATGCTACTTATCTGTCAGCATAAGTAGCATACACTACATTAGTATTTGCAGCAATAGACTTCATAATGTGTTTGGTGGTGTGATGTACGATACTGAGATCTGCTTAACTGAGTACGTTGTTATTTGGTGTAAAGCAATTCTTTATAAACTTTTAATTAAATGAAACCTCTCATCAGAAATATCATGAAATCGAATATCACCTTTTAGAAAACCTCTACGTCCATTAATTTTATCCACTCATTATTTCGATTATGGTTAAAAGACTAACTAGTGTGTATAATTACTTTTATGTCAGTCTATCAATTAATCTTTTTCTTTGAAATAAGACGCAGTGACTAGGCTTAAGTTAACGCTTATATATATGAATATCCACCTGGTTTTAAGGAGAAATCATAACATGGGATTGTTGGATCCTAGAATATCTACTTTATTTAAAACTTTCGGAATGTTAAAGGTATTCTGTCATATTCTCGTAGTAGCGGATTATTCCAGTCTACAAAACAACCCGAATAATCCGTATTTTATAAACAGTTTTCCCTTGTTGTCTTCTTGGTAAATTAATGTACTTTTCTGGGTCACTTAGATTGCTATCAATCATGGACATCACAAGTTTGTTACATAACATAATCTGACCACTATGAAGTTTCTTCCATATTACTTTTGGTCCAGAAAGTATAGTAAGTTTGAATTAGTAAGAGGTCTCGTACACGCAACATGTTTTCACTGGTAGAGTAACACTATCTATTGATTCAAATGTGGTAATCGTCCACGTTACCATTCGATTAAATTTTGATAAATTCAACTATTAATGATTTTAGTTCAATAATCTGTTGTATTCCGATAAACTGTGTTGTGTATTCATTTAGTTCTGAGATTTCTTCAGCAAAAATTCATTTTATGGTTATTTGAGCATAAATGGTAATACCCAAAAACCATGGGATATGGTGTTATTTTCCCACAAATAAATTTTACGATGTAGGCTAGGCTTAGTCCCCTGAGTAGTTAGAAGGGAGAGGTGAGACTGAAAGCAGAGAACGTAAGGTCAGAGAGTGAAGTCGCACTGCCGAAAGTACTGAAATTTGAAGAGTGATGGTTTTTATCTCTCAGGAAAACGGAATCTCTAGAGATGCTACATCCTCATAAAGGAAGGGGATGTGTACGAAAGATCTTGCTCTTCCCGTCTAAATAGTAGGAAGTAGTCCCTTGGGCTCTTTGGTCGACCCCACGTCAGCGAGACCATTAATCCGCCCTTCCTTTCAGGACCCTCACGAGGAACTATTCTTACACAGTTTTGGCGGCCAGGAAGTGACAATTGCCAATGTACTTTTAACAGCACTTGAGATCACCATGTTTACAATCAAGCCTCCTATTTCGAACCTTAATATTTTATTTACATTACCAAATCCCATCTCCTGTCTTGAATTCTTACATATGGATTATCCCTGCTAACCGTTCGAGTTCAAAAAGCGCTACAAGAGGTTGCTTGATGCCGAGTTTAAAACTTCCAATGTTCGAAATCTACGTCAAAGTGGACAACATGCCTCACTAATTAGGACTCTAGGATATCGGGAATTTGATGTATCCTGTCTCCGAAACATGTATACAAGATCCTAAAAGGGTCATTCATTTGACTCCACGTAGCTACTATGAAGAGGAAGGGCAACTTACCTCCAGTGTGTACAAAGACCCGGTATCAATTTCTCATGACCTAGCCGATGTAAGTATAGTACTACTTGAAAGTGGAACATGTACTCCGTGGATGAACTACTGTGGACGGTGGCTTATATGCTGTCCAATTAAATGATACTGAGGAAATTCTGAAAAACATGGACATATTACCGCCTCTTCATTGTTTATACCTAAGGGCTCAATGGCTGCAGTTCAAAGGAGTAAATGATGAATTTCAAGGGAAGCTTCATGACTTCCTTCAGAAAACCAGACACTCAGATGTGGCAATTAAAGGTGATTTGGAGACTCAAGTAGGCTAAGTCAAGCTGTAAAACACTTAGGTGTGCCTTTTAGGACCTCAAGTCACCAGACAAAACGGCGGCCGTCTCCTCCAATTATACTAGGATGAATGCTTATTCCCAGAAATCACCAATTTTAAGCATATAAAAGGATAATACTTAGTTTGGTAACATTAAAATCGACAGACACAAATAGAACATATCACCATCAAGGATCTTTGGAGAAGTTTGATAAAAAGATTTTGGAGCATATGGTTTAACTCCGATCATGCCCTAGTGAGAGCACATATTTTCATGTCTTATTAGACATGGAAACTACCAGGAAGACCTATTAGATGTTCGTTCAAGAATGAAAAAGATAAGAATCCATTCAAAAAAGGAGTATGTGAATATTGAGTCAATTATGAAGAAGACAATTGTCCCGAAAAAGCTTAGAATGATATTCAAACAGTCGTAAATACAGAAGAGATATTCGTCATCCTCTGAAATCATAAGGTTAGATAATATCAATGGATTTCGGAAACTTTTACTAAGTGTATAAGTAATTAAAAGCTCACCCAGAGAGGATCGAAGAACGAGAAGTGATGACACTTTAGGCGTAAACTATAAGCACCCATTTGATGATCATGAGCAGTGGTGGAGCTGGAAGGCAGAGGCGATAGGTAAAACTTATTGACTGTCATGACTCAAGGAAACAGGTATTAAAAGTCAACTGTCAGTGAAGAGGAACTATAATCCATTGTCGGTCTAGGAGATTAAAGTGTTTATGTACAGTCGAACAACCAAGTGAGTAATGCTAAGGTTAGATATAAGGCACCAAGGGAAAGTGGCCAGGAAGTGTTGTATATACTCAATCACTGTTTACTTCGACGAGTGATAGTGGCTGGAGTAGGTTGGAAGAAAGCTGGAAGCGACGAAGGCAATACATAGCAACAGTTTTTGAAATCACTGACTACTGGACACAGGCATGTTGGTAGACAATAACTACCTTGTTGAGGTCTACGCGATCAATAGTTTCAAAAATTTAGTATATTTCTTGGGACCCATCTCAGTAAAGCAGATATATTTACTTTTCATCTTCCCCTAGATCATGAGCTTCAATGTCCCTTCATACAATTATTTGATTCCGAATTACATTTTTAATATCTAATCTTTCACACTATTATAATTATTACAATTGCCTTGACTCTTTTGCTATCCATCTAGACATGCTGATGTGCTATGAAAAATTGGGCTAAGGTATATTTACACTAGGCTGTCGGAGCACAGCTCAGATAACAGCAATGAACCACTTATTTTGATGTAAGCGATATAGATGTCTAATGAATCTAGTTTTCAAATAAAGGATTTATAACTAATAAATTTAAGTGATTTTCGGGAACTACTTGATTTTACACTTATAAGAAATAAACACTGAAATATTTCTACATACGTGAGATGGATAATTTTCATAAAGTAAAGTCCTTAGTATCAATCTTCCAGGTTGGTGGGACGTGAAAATGTTTTCGTGGAACCAATCACATAGTGTAGGTTTAATCCGTTTGTTTCGGTTAACACCGTGGAAGCCAAACACTAACTTGGCAGATGAAGAACCTATCCATAATATCATACATAGGCAGTAACCACGGCGTTTTAGTGTAGCATTTAATGTGTACACGGAGAAATGGGAGTAGGCCTGATACAATTAACAAATTATTTTGGGGATTAGTAACGTTCCACTAATACTGATGCATGGAGAAGTGGAGGGACATAACTAAACTGTGCATATTCACAAGAATCATGAACGCATAATTCGGAATTGACGAAATATGGAGTGATTATGTAGAAGACAAGACAAAAAGTACTAGTTTGGGATTTTAGATTCTTGTGAAATAAAACAGAAAACAGGAGAAAATTGACAAGTAACAGGGAAAGAAAGACATGCAAATAGAAGTTTGATTAAAGTCAATTATATTACTCTTTTACATCTGTTGTTAAGCATAAATTAAGTGTATACCTTAAGTAGGAAAATGAGCACTATCTATACTCACACGAACGAGTAGGACTCATCACAAAAGTACAAAAAACAGTACATAAAAATAAGTACTGAGTCGTTTAGAATGATGATATATAACAAAAAATTTCAAATTTTGTTTACATATTGTAAATGTCTATAAGTTGAATTCATTTTAAAATCTCATTCCATTGGACTGATGACGTGGTTTCCCATAGGTGAATGGTAAGTAACGGTATTTGATCATATGCTAATAAGTACAGAATTTGAAAAAAAATTTAAGATAGAAGGAAATGCAAAATATTTTAGAAATGAATGATGAATAGTTGAGTTTTTATCGAATATATTTTTTATGAAACAACCTTTGAGTAGATTGACAACAGCTTATGGAGTGTGGCATAAATATCAACCTCTCCCACTGTGACAGGTCAATACTCTCGACATACTTCATTTCTTTTAATAAGCTACACACAACTGTAAAAATAGTTATTTGGTAATTCTGATACAAACTAACAATACTCGGTTGACCGTTGGTTCACCAATTTATGAGCTCGATTGAATAGATGATTATCGTTTCGAATTTAGCTTTACGTATCAAGGCCTGTAAAAATGAGTGCTTTTAAAAACTATTGCCGGTGAGACTATAATTTGTGAACAAACTTTGAACGAATCTCAAGTGACCCTAAGAGATTTCAGTCAGTGAGAAAGCAGTCGGTGTAGAGTAGAAATATACTGTACAAAACTAAAGAATTAGGATGGATACACTTCCTTGACATGGTTTACAAACGTCTCAGGGTTAGAAAGAGGCTCTGCTGTTCATAAGTCGTAATGCAAACGATATAGAAACTCATTCATGTGACTTCACAATAGTCGACATCTGGAGCCATGATAAGGTCGCAAAAATTCTTTTAGCCTCGACCACATTGCTTCTAATATTGGTGTGTGCTCCGGTGGTAGTCTACAAAATATCGCTTAAGAACGACTAAATAATGCACGCAACCGTACAACTGTCGCTTTTCGGTTTTCCACGCACTGGAGGCATCCTTTTGGAGATGATCTATCATAAATACCAAGGACCGGTTAAGTATATTTAAGGAAGTGCTACTTACCCAGTCATCTTGAACACTTTTTTCTCTATTGAATTTGTGTTTTCCAACGACTGTCATCAATCTCTACGATTCCCCCGATTCTTCCGAACGACTGGCGCAAGCTTATCATTTTTATTGCACATATATTTCGACAGTACTTATACTACCGAACTGCCGAAGTTTCAGTACCATCTGCGAAGGTTGCAGCTAGTTACTGGTGCTTTTGGTATCCGGTTCGCAAAAATTATCAAATTCTTAGTGTCAATCGGGGTGGAAAAAAATGTACCCGTTCTAGAAAACTTTAGCTTCCAACATATATTACATCGATAGTCTGCATAATATTCAGCAGTTATTTGAACGCCGCAATCGCAAATAAAGGAGTTTCTCGTTATTCTTAACTGTTGTGGCTGCCCAACTAAGACGACTTGGATATTGAAACAGGCACCATAACCTTGGAATCGATTACTCACTTCTGATCATCACGTTTATAAATAGTGGTTTCGCCACACAAATAACGGTAATGGGAATCATTACTGACCGCAGTTTTACTTTAGCCATTACTATTTGTTAACATATGGCCTAGACAAAATGTAACTGGTAAATAATCCTTAGTAACTAACAAAAATTACGATGAAAACACTCGAATGCAATAAGTAAGTTAACAAGTCTCATAAACAAAATAGTTGAAGATTATTGAACATACCGATATTTGACGCTTCATAGTCACGTAAAACAGCAAAAAGAAGTACATCACTAAGATCGGCCAAAACACAGGTACATCGAGAAAGCTCAAAAATGTACAGAATATAGATATAAATAAACATATGGTACATGAGTTCCTGTTAAACTATAGTCAACGAAAAAATCATCATACCAAAACTTAAGTTCAGGTAATTTCCTTAAAAAAGGCCTGAACTCTTCCGATGACTTGGTTGGAAGTACTTCATCTAAGAGAGCGAATCTTTAAAAAAAAATACACGCAGCTACCAGTGGAAGTTTCAGGTACAATTTTGGGCGAAAGAAAATCAATTAGTCTGTTCAGAAGAAATATTCCCATCACGTACGTAACCACGTGATAACCCTGAAAAAATAAAGAGAAGGGCGAAGTATTACAAAACCTGTGTGATGATAACACGTAATATATAGAAGAAGATGAGAAGAACAGTAAAGCACCATCTTCCGACTGCATAAGGGGTCAATACATCGTACAAATGTTGTATCTTCTATGGTCTCTCGTAAAAACAAAGAAATAATACTAACCACTTCGCAGAAACGAAGAAACTCTGGTTTTGACGAAGGGCTTGGAACTTCTTGAGTATAATAATCCATAACTAGGTGAGATTTGTCTTCAGCGCTGTGACCCTGATCAACAAGGTCGAGACTTCAGTACAGCTTTCAAGAAACTTTTTGAAAAACACTAGTGTTCTTTTTCCTAATATTAAGGCATTTCGTCACGAAACGGTGAACGAAGTTTTTTGTTTGATTGTTTTTTGGTAGCGCGATTTACTTTATGCACGTGCAATACCTGCGATATCACTTAACTTTGGTTTGGATTTCTCAAACTTATTATGTATACGTAAGCAAATAGCACACGACTTTCAGTTCGAAGAATCCAACCTAAGGTTGGCTTCGGCTGATCGCTCTTTTTTCGGGTTTCCTTTGAATTAGCAATCAACCGGATTTTCACTATACGGTGTTCAGTATTTCCAAGATAATACACTATTTTTAATATTTTCGAAGTCATTATTGCACGCGACTTTAGATATTTTGTTTATTCAAAATGTTGTTTCATAGCTATGTACTGTCATTATCCTATTTCACTCATTATTTTATATCAAGTTTAAACATCATCATGGTCATTAAAACAAATATAAATTATCAGGATTCGCTCCTGAAGATGTCATAGGCACACATATTTATTTAAAATTATCAGGCTGTCATTTAGATATAATCGGGAGTTTTGAATAAGTATATGTAACGGTAAATAAATCTCCAAAGTCAATAGTTCTGTATGTCTTCGACATTTGATGCTGACCTCACTAGTTCTACTAGATTCACTATAGTTAAATGCACTCATTCATGCATCCTCACTAGCTCACATGTGGCTACACCAAGCTACTCATATCTTGCAACCGCCAGTCAGCTTAGACCAAACGTTCCTCGACATAACGAAAGCCTTCCAAATACATCTTCAAATTCCTTAATTTCTGACTTATAGTTTGACTGGGATAGTATACTCTGACTACAACGGTGTTACTGGTTAAGGCATTTTCAAACTCCGAATATTGTGGCATCTTTAGTGGTGAGGCCGACGTGATTTGGTACACAGATTCGTGTGCTATGAGTCTGTTACTTGTTAAAACTTTATATCTTGATTCTAAATTTTCATTTTTACATATGGTGATACTGTTTTCACGTATTTCTTTCATTACCATACTTTACATTAATCATGAGCGAACAGACTCCTAAGCTGTTTGAGACTGAGACTCACCACCCTCATTTCAGCTAATGCTTTTTAGCCAAAAATCGAAGCCTGTCTCTGCTACATAGAAGCTGACTTCCACGACCACGGCGTGACCGACCCACTTGCACAATTACCCACAGCAGTGAAGGCGCTACAGCCAACTGAAAAAGGTTAGACCAACCGTTCAACAAAATTGATCTACGACATAGCTCAGCAACAAAAATGTTGCGACGAATGAGAAAGGCCATTGGTTAACGGACCTTCAGTGAGGGCCTGTCTGACCTTCCACAACAGGTGCAAGCAGTGCTTGTCTCATTTCAGAACAACTCTGTAGACGAGCTAGATGCATCTGACTACCGGATTTCGGAAATCACCAGAACCCCCGACGCCGAGGGCTATTTAGTCAAGGAAATGATCCAAACGACACGAGATGACGTTACAGAACTCCGTCATACTCTGACATGTCACCTTACTATTCGTGATAACCGCAGACACTTCCGAACTCCTAGAAGGGGTACTTCATGAAAATGATTAGTCTCTAAATCAAGAGACAGATAAACCCGACTGGTGCTGGTATCATAATCGGTACGGAAAATATTCTTTAAACTGCAGAAAACCCTGCAATTTTCTGAGCCTCAAGCCGACCGACGCCATAAACCTTTCAGAAAATTTGCCAGCCGACAAGCTTAAATGACGAACATAGCCGTATGTTATGCATCACTTATGTGATTACGAAATTTTGCTACCTCGTCGATACCAGTGCAGAAGTTGGTGCTCTTCCATCAAGTTATAACGACCGGCTGCACGTAGCAGCTTTCAACTTATGGGAAACCAATTACCACATATGGCAAGTGGTATGTGCACCTTAACGTGGGTTTACGCAAACCCAGATGTTTCTCTACCAGTCATTGATATTAGATCCGCCACAATATCATAATCTACTAATCGACAGGCGTAAACGGAGGTTAGTAGACGGAAATACTAATTTATCTGTTTATATAACTTCCTTTTTCGGTTGTAGATTGTCCCCACTCACAGCAACACACACGATCGATTTATGCTATGAACAAATAGTCGATAAGTACCCTAAGATATACCAAACACAACCGAAATTACTATGTGTAGCCAGCAATGTAACACATCACACCACGACTACGGGACCACCTATATTCTTGAAAACGCGCCAACTAGCTGCAGAAAAGCTGAGGTGGGCTACAAACGAATTCGATCACATGATAGAATTAGGATTCATTCGGCAATCGAACAGCTCATAGGCATTTCCCTTCCACATTGTCTCTAAAAATGGCAGCAATGTTTGACGAAAGACATTCCGGATCGTTACCCCTTGCTATATGCACTCACGATTTGACAACTACCTTTAAACATGTAGAATGATTGTTTAAGTTCATTATTACTACTGATGTAATAATAGACCTAATCCTGAAATTATAGATTTGTCATGATGTGACAACCTAATCTATAAGACCTTACGTGGAAGTCACGTTTTCCACACTGACTTATCGTATCGTGACAATCAGCAGTATGATATTTAGCACTTCCGAAAAACACTTTTAGGTCAAATACAGAATAATGCATTTAAACGGAATAAATTCAGGTTATACAGAATGACCACGTCACTGAAGCTGTCATGCCAACCAATTGAATTGAATGAATATTCCCGCGTCCACCATTGTTGGCCTTCTCTTCGTGTTAAATGTTGAATATCTGTTTTCCCAGTTATCTCATGTTCACCTTCAAGGATTGTGTAGTTAAAACCAATACCGATGCACTACTCTCCCACTAGAATGAACGTAACATTGGTTTGGTACCATATCGAGTGAGATTGTTGCACGCCGGAGGTTACCAAAAGATCAGTAAGAAAATTCCCCGGGTATTGATAAACTGAAAGGTAAACAAAAAAGAATCGAGTAGCAGCTGATCGAGAAATAAATGTATTAATTTTAGAATGTTTGGTTTAATTTCTAACATGTGCAAAATAGAAATTTAGGTGATTATTTAAGAGTTAAACAAAGTGGGATTATAATAATTAAGAACAATTTATCATAAAGATATTTTAACAAGTCACGTCAAGGTGCATATTAATCACCGTTAGTTAACAGAGTAACTTGTGGAAGCATAAGTATGTTATGCTAAGAAATAAAAAACAAACAATATTGCATAAATTTCCATATTGGTATCATCTCTGGTTGAGACTAGGAAGTCAGTTGACGTTTATGCAGTTCACTGTCTGTATGAGTTGACTTCCAATTGCATTTTCACCGGTAAACTAAGTGAAAGAACAGAAGTATAAACATGGAAAGAATTCCAACTAGTGTTCCAAATAGTTTGTCAAGTTTAACACGGTTTATTTATTTCTGGAGAGATTTTCTCGACCTCACTATTGTTTACTCATGAAAGGAATTAATAAGACTACTAATACACATGAATGGTTATCGAAAATTCATTTAATACATGAAATTGGTGACAGTTATGTGAATTCCGGACAGATGGCTAACATTAATTCGTTAGATATGAGTGGATCCATGAGAAATATGCTCTAGACTAAATGTTTTAGTGTACAATAAACCAATTATTTATATACATATTTATCGGCTGACAGTACCTACAATCTATAGAGTTTAGCATAAGATAGAAAATGACTTATTCAAAATATAGTAATTAAAAATTATTGATATCAACAAAGTTTATGTGCCACAAACATAGGTGATGCGGTGTTGCACAATTCTTCAGCCTAAATAAATGTCTACAATGTGATAAACAGTGAGTGGTGCTCATGTGATCATCAGGGAGAATATAAGCTGTAACCAAGGGGAGTACAACTTGAACTTTAGTCAGTGTTGGGTTAAATTCGACAGTGATTTTTTAGTTTGCAGGAGATTTGCTCAACTGCTTATACTGATGATTTGCATGCATGGTTGTATTTAGGATGGAATGGCGTATTTAGAATGAAACCCTATTCATGTCAGTTTTCCTTCGGTGCAATCGAAGGACGCGAGCCTCTCAACTACGATACTTCACACGATAATCAACACTCACGATGACACTTTGTTGGTATCTCACAACCAACTAAAAAGAACGCGTTCTGGAAGAAGAATAAGGTTTCCAGAACACCTAAAGGATTACTGCATGTATGACACCACATAACATTTTGCTTCGTCTAAACTTTTTTGTATTATTGCGTAAAAATTTGTTTTGATATGCTCATATATATATATCCATTGTTGCTAATATGCTTATACGTATGTTTTTTCCCAAAAAAACAAAAAAGATCCATTGTGCGAAAATCGTTCCTACACTGTTGCATGTTTGAGAAACACATGTATGTAAGCTTATTTTCCTTTCTTCGCCCGTTCTGTTTCCTTTCGCACGTACGAGTGTAACTCGACATGCAGTTACAGGTCCTTTTCCGTTTACAGGACGACTGGAAAAGATTAAAAAACCGACCAAGATTACGAAGAAACGAAATTTTCATTGTACTTGTTTTTCATTACTATATTGTGACACCTAGTCCCTTATAATAAGGAACGACGACCAGACGTTGCTGAACATAGAAAGTTATCAGAAGAGTGTTTATCGTAGAGTTTAAACATTTGACTGGCCACGTCTTAGGTTCATCACCACCCAACTAAAGAGGGAGTGAAATGTAATAGTAAATAAATCCCCAAAATCAATAGTTCTGTATGTTTTCGAGATTTGATGCTGACCTCAATAGACCAAAACTTCCTCGACATAGCGAGAGTTTTTCAAATATATCCTTAATTTCTGACTTCTGATTTGACTGGGTTAGTATACTTCGATTATAAAGGTGCCACTAGTTAAGGCGTTGTCAAACTCTGAATACTTGTGGCATCTCGAGGTATATTGTTAAAGTATTATGATAATTAGGAGTATTTGAATTATAG